CGAGAGGGAGGGGGGGAGGGAGGTGGTGGTGGTGTCTATTTTGTTGACCCCCCACGTCAGGCAGTGTCTCCGAGGACCCGCCCAGGCTCCTCCTCCCCCCCTTTCAGCCTCAACCTCTAGCAGGCCCGGGGGGGGCGGCCGGCCTGACTCATTCTGACCACGGGTGCACGTCCCACTGCAAGGCAGCGTCGCCCCACCACCCCTTCCCATCCTGATCACTCTTCATCTGCATCCCTCCACAGCCTTATTTCTGCATGCTGTCGCTCCTCGGAGCTTGCCACAGGTCGCGCCCATCTGGCCCGCCTGCCTCCATATACACTGAGAAGCTTTCGGGATTCCAGCTGCTTGTTTGCGCTCGCTGGCGCAGTAACTGGCTTGCGCCCTGTCCGCAGCTGCGTGCGCTCCCTCCACATCATTCCCCTCCTGCTAATCCTCCTGCTCATCCGCCACCTCCTCCATGGTACTGCTCCCCTTCTCAGATTGCGACAACACGATTGGGTCTTCCTGGGGGGTGCTGGGTCTGATCTGCTATGACACAGAAAAGACCAGCTCACTGGGATGGGTTGGAAGGGTAGGATACCAGACATGGGGTGGGGCCCCGCGAAGGTTCCTGGAGGCCGAAAACTGCCAAACGCCTTCCATCGTGATGTTTTGCCTCTATGCGAGCACTGGGCCTCCTGTCTGGGGTCCGAGCCGAGCATACGGGGTCGAAGGAAGGCCCCGTACAGCCGATGCATCGCCCATGCGTCGGCGACGCACCGAGCGCATTGAGGCGCATCGGCGATGCATCAACATTGCATCATCGATACCAGGCCAAGGCGTCATACGCATGTAGGCCCCGCGCGAAAGATGCCCAGGTACCCCGTGAAAGTGGGAAAGGGTAGATCCGAGCGCATCCAAGGATCCACTTGCCTTTCCGAGGACAGCGGTGTCGACCCGCGGATTTGTATCGATCCGCGGATTCATGTTTCGATCCGCGGACCATGGCGTCTTTCAAACCCACGACATGTTTTCAATCCGCGGGTTTACTTTTCGATCCGCAGATTATTTTCCGATCAGCGGATTCATTTTCGATCCGCGGATTCATCTTTGGATCCACGGATCCATGTTCAATCTGCGGGCTCACGTTTCGATCCGTGGGTCCATGATGCCCCGCTGAATCATTGCCGATTGCGGATCACTGTTTCAATGCGCGGACAGAGGTGCGTCGGCGATGCATCGCAGATGCATCGCGGATGCGTCATGGATGAGGGTTGGTGCGGTTCGAGAGTCACCCGCACATCGTCGATGTATCAGCGACGTGGCGCTGTCCTCTGACCCCATCTACTCCGACCCCATTTTGGAGGCCTCCAGTCTGGGCACCATTCTCCCCGTCCTTCTTCTTCTCATCCTTGTCGCCTCATGGCGCGGAGGAGCTGGCGGTCCAGCTCGCGTGCGCCGGCGACGTGGCCAGCGCGGTGGCGCTACTGGAGGCGATCGGGCGAGTCGTGCCAAGCTGGGTGCATCAGAAGAGCTCTGAGCTCTCCATCTCTCCAGCTCTCCCCTGAGATCCTGGCGTTCCACTGGTTCACACCAGGCCCCAGGACCATCAAACATCAATCTGGCCAGCAGGAAGATGGGTTTTAAATATCTGGCCGTGATTGATCACGATGCTGCATTTTTTTGCAACGTTGGATCTCAGGGTTCAGCTATCCAGTTTCCCAGATGAAAAATCTTGACGGGTGTTTTTGTTTGGCTTTCGGCTCCCAGCGGCCCTCACCGGCGGCTTCGGGACCGTCAACAAACGACTCAGGATCCCTGAGATCCGACGTTGCGGCGAAAAGGTTACAACATCGTGAGAAATTACGGCTGCAGCCCTAGACCCCACCTCTCTGCGTCACGTTTCGCAGCGGATCGATTCGGGTTGGCCCGCAGGCCCGCATCCAGGCGACATCGAACATGCTGCTTCGGATCTCTGGGATGACACGCCTGTCCCGGGGACCGGGTCGAGACCTACACGGTCAGGATTTTTGGGGGACAGCGCAGCGTGTCGCCCCGCCGGTTCTGCCAGGCGATCGCAGACCTGGATCAAGGGGGCGAGGATTAGCGGCGGATCCCGTTTCCATGGGGCATCGCGGATTTCCGCCGCCGAGCGCGGTGGCACTGGCCGCATGTTGGGGTGGGCACCTCCCCCGCTCCATGGAGTAGGCGACCGCGCGCCAAATCCATGGGACCGGTAATCCATGTTTGCGCGCCCCCGATTCTGGCCCTTCGCGCTGCGGCGCGACACGCTATTCCTTTTCCGTCCCCCAGCGTGCACGTCCTGAGCTCCTCCCTGCCTCCCGCCCCTGCGCCTCGTACGCGCCGCCCGAGGAGAGGCTGCAGCAGGATGCCGACCAGCCCGTGCTGTGGCACCTCCTGGGCCGCCTGCTGTCGGCGGGCGCGCTCGCCGAGGCGGCCCCGGAGAGATCCATATCCCCAGACCCTCTCGACCCTCCTCCTCCTCCTCCTCCTCCTCCTCCTCCTCCTCCTCCTCCTGCTCCTGCTGCTCCTCCCCCTCCTCTTCCTCCTCCTCCTCCTCCTCCTCCTCCTCCTCCTCCTCCTCCTCCTCCTCAACCTCCTCCTGTCACGAAGACATCACGACGGGAGGTTTCTGGCCGTTTTCGGCCTCCGGGGGCCCCCAACGGAGCCGTCAAGCAGCGGTTCGGGGTGAGGAGCCTGTCCCGGGGAAGGGGTCGAGACCTCCGGGGGTCGACGTCACGAAGCAGATCACTGCGTCGGGGGTTCTGGGCCCACAGCCTCGGAGTCGTGGAGTAGTGGATTTAGGTCGGGCCTGTCCCTCTACAGGAGGAGTATTCCAAAATAGTCAAAAAGTAGTCTGGGGACGATTTTTTGTTTTTTTCTTTATTTTTTGACCATTTTGGAGTATTGTTTGTGGTATTTTTCATTTTTCGTAGAAAACCTCCCTGTAGGGGGACATGCCCGACCTAATAGTGGATCTGGGCAGCTGCTCGCCCGCGCGGGCGGGCAGATACCTTCCAGGGCCTGCCCCAGCCCCCACAGCACCATGCCAGTGGCATCCCCCCCCGCCCCCCCCACGTTATGAGGAAAATCCTGGAGGCCTCGCGCGGCAACTTGAGACCCGATTTACGTCGGATCCACGTCGGATTTACGTCAGATTCAGGTTGGACTTCGTCGGATTTACGTCGGATTTACTCCGGAGCATTGCCACGCGAGCGTGGACCCATAGCTTTCGGAACTAACAAGTGGACTAAATCATACTACTATTCAGCGCCGCGCGAGGCCTCCAGGATTTTCTTCGAAATCCACGCACACCCCGATGCTCCTGACCTTCCAGGAGGGGAAAAAACAGCACCAGGACCTTGGCGTTCAACTTGCTGTCGAGGTGTCAAGCAAGCCAGATCGGTCTATGTTGGTCTGGAGGGATATGTTCTGGCACTCTGGAAGGTCAGGGGGGTTCCCCCCCTCCTGCAGGTATGGGGTGGTGCTGCGGTGCTCCCCCCCCCCCCGGGTACTGCGGTGCCCCCCCCTCCCCCTGAGGGTATGGGGTGGTGCTGCGGTTCCGTCGTCGTTGTCGTCGTCGTCGTAGTCGTCGTCGTCGTCGTCGTCGTCGACGTCGTCGTCGTCGTCGTCGTCGTCGTCGTCCCATCGGAGGGGGGGTGGCGGGGAGTGGTGCCCTGGCACCCATCCCATCCCCAGACCTTCCAAAGTGCTAAACCATAGCCCTCCAGACCTGTAGACCTATCTGGACTGCCTAAAATCTCGGCAGGAATTTGGACGTCGACGTCCTGGTGCTATTTTTGGGGCCCTCCTGGAAGGTCAGGGTCCTGGGGGGTGGGCCTTGAGTCCGGAGCCCTGGAACAGATACCCACCTTCGACCGCTCCCCCTCCAGTCCCCTGGCCACGGCTCCGCGGCAGCGGATCATCATCATCATCATCATCATCATCATCATCATCATCATCATCATCATCATCATCATCATCATCATCCTCATCCTCATCCTCATCCTCATCATCATCATCATCATCATCATCATCATCATCATCATCATCATCATCATCATCATCATCATCATCATCATCATCATCATCATGGTCATCATCATCATCCTCATTCCTCTTCTTCCTCCTCACCTCATCATCATCATCATCATCTCATCATCATCATCATCATCAGCAGCAGCAGTCAGCAGCAGCAATCATCTTCCTCCCCTCGTCTTCCTGATCCTCATAATCATGCAGATGAGGATGAGGAGAAACGCGATGGGGATGATGATGAGGGTGACGGGCCCTCGGGGGAGGTGCTGGGGGGGGGGGGGCTGACCACAATGCGGACATTCCCAGACGGCCCGCGCTCCAGCTGTCTCGACGCGTGGGCCCCGGGGGGTCTGCTCGACCTCCCGTTCTCTTGGACGCTCCCCCGGGCCCGTGGAGGGGGCCCCATGGGGGCCGAGGAGAGCCGAGCACCGGCCGCTCCGGAAGGCGTTCCAGGAAAGGCCTCGTCTAGGGGGCCACACGCGGACCCTACCCCTACCCCCCACGATTTTTCCGAGGGGGAGGGTAGGGGTTCACTTCGCTCGGGAGCTCCTGAGCGAAGTGAACCCCGCCCTCCCCCTCATAAATCGTGGAGGGTAGGGGTAGGGTTCGCATGTGGCCCCCGATCGTCGCCTTCGAGGATCGAGGGAGTTGCCAGCTCTTCCCTCGCGGTGAGGCGGCGGAGGCCGGCGGGAGTGGACTGCGGCCACCTCCGCCGGCGGAAGTGAAGCATGGCCCCCCCAAGAGATGGCAAAGGTTGTGTGGCTCGGGCTGCCCGAAGGCCGCCGATGTTGTTCCGGAGCTGCGGGTCTCTTCGAGGCTCTTCCCTCCTCCCCCTCCCCGCCCTCCTCCTCCTCCTCCTCCTCGGTCCCGGGCGGCGCGGTCAACCCCAGCGGCCGGCTGCAGCAGCCCGCGGAGGCGGGGGACCCCGCGCGCGCTGGCAGGGCCCTCGCGGCCGCCTGCCGCGCCGCCGGCCGCGCCGGGGAGGCCACGGCGAGGCGTGCGGCGGAGGCGGCCAGGTCGGGGGCCACGATAGTCGGGGGCGGAAAAGAGGGGGGTGATGACTAGGGGGGGGTGGATATCATGGCGGGGGCCATGATATTTCCCAGATTTCATGGCGCCTCTTCTTATTTCATTACGTCCCTGGTCCCCCCGCTGGGCCGCGCACATGCCGCCGGTCGGGGGCCACGATGGGGGGGGTAAAACGACGCGAAGATCGGGACAAAATCGGATCGGGATAACTCGAAATCTCTGAGGATCGGCGGGTTTGGAGGATGTATTGGGCGCCGCGGCCGCTTCAGAGCGTTCCGGAACGCTCTGAGAGCGCTCCGGGACGCTCTGGAGCGATTTATCCCGATCCTAGCCCTGTTTTGGGGGGGCCCGCACCAGGGCTCGCTTCGATTCCTCCGACTCGATGCGGCTCGATTTCGAGTGCGTCCGATTCTGATTCGACTCGGCTTGGGACTCCGATTTGGGCTCCGATCTGTTATTGGAGGCATACCAGCCTGCCGATTTCTGCCGATCCGACTTTCCCGACTCGCCTGCCGACTTCCGCCGATCCGATTCATTTCGATCGCCGGTTTCGACTTATCGATTCGATTCTGGGCTCTCCTGACAGGCACAGAGTCCCAGTCGAGATCGCGTCGAGCAGAAAAAATCAGGCGATCGAAGACATGGATCAAGGGGGCGTAGATTAGCGACGGTCCCCTTTCCAGGGGAAATCGCTGATCTCCGCCGCCGAACGAGGCGGCACCGGCCGCATTTGGGGGAGGGTACCTTCCCGGATCCATGGATTTGGCGACCGCGTGCCAAGTCCATGGATCGCTAATCCATGCTTGCGCGCCCCCGACTAAAAAACACGACGGGAGGTGTTTCGCAATTTACGGCCTCTGGGGGCCCTTACCGGGCCTCGGGGCCGTCAAACATTTTTGTTGATCCGCGGGTCGAGAGCGAGCCTCTTCTGGTCGAAGCTAAGCGGGCCGCGCACAGCTTTAATTGACAGGAGGAGGGTAGAGGGAGGGGCCTCACGTCAAGGCCAAGGGAGGGCAAAGAACCGGAATCAGGCGGTGGGCCGTCAAACACGACTCTGGATGAAAAACCGGTCCCGGGGAATGGGTCGAGAGACTTTTGGGGGTCTACGTCGTGAAACTAATCTGTCGTCGGGGGTCTGGGGATCCTCAGTGCTGGAGGTCGTCAGGAGCAGCTAATTACTACTTCGTGCCTCGGGGGCCCAGACCAGAGTTGCCCTGCACCGGAGTGATCATCAGTATCCCGGATAATTCGGGCGTCCACCCGTTCCCGAATCTTCGGAGCTAGGGGGGTCAGGGGTAACTTCTAGTTCGTGCGTCGGGGCCCCAAACCTGATTTACCTAGGATCAGAGTCATCCCGGATAACTCGGGCGTCCAAACGGGGAAGGCATCGCCCTCAAATGGTTCTTATATCGACGATGCAGCGAAGATGCATCGCCGGTAAACGATGTATAGACTATGCATGGGGCGGTCTGCAGCGACGACGTATCGACAATGCATTGTCTATGTATCGGCCACTCGAGGTCGATACAATTTCCCCGATGTCAGTCCCCCCCTACCGTTGGCCCTCACCAGGGAGGACTTGCAGGTGCTGCTGCGGCAGAGCCTCGGCTTCGGCCCCGCCGTGCTCATGGAGGCGCTGAACGACGCCCAGCTCGAAGAAGAAACAAGTGCATGCAAACACGAACTTTCGGCGCTCCGCACGCACATCTTGGATCCGTGCTGGGCCCCGCTGGCGGTGCTTCTGGCGCCGCCCCTGACGCGCTCCGCGCGCCAGGGAAGGAGGCCCAGCGCAGATCCAAGAGATCCGCGCGCAGACCCTGACCTTCCAGAGTGCCAGAATATAGCTCCTTAGACTTATAGACCCATCTGGACGTCTAAAACCTCGACAGGGATTTGACCCAGGGTTCTGGTGCTCCCTCCTGGAAGGTCAGGGAAGCTCTGGAAGTTTGTGTGTATGCCGTCTTTACTTCTTCTACCAGCGCTCGAGCTTCCTCACGGGGGCGGCGAGGCCTTGGGGAGGAAGATATCGCGAGTCGCTCGTCCTGGAGGTCCCCCGTCGCCTCGGCCGCCGTCTCCTGGAAATGCTTGCCAGAACGCACCCCGGAAGAGGTCTGGGGAGTACTGTTTCGAATAGAAGAGTACTCGCAGGAGTCTTGTGCGGAGGCCTTGTGCGGGGGACATTTTGCGCCTTGTGCGGGGTTCTTGTGAATGCCCTTGGGATTGGATCCGCGCGCGTGCTAATGCATGAGCAGGAGGAGGCGCAGACTCAGCACTGTAGATACGGACCCTTTGCGCAAGACCCCTTGTGCGCCTCGTGCGCCAGCGCACTTCGCCCTGGCATTTTTTTTTATGTTAGCCAGTAAGGACCTCAAGCAATAGGCTATTTATATGTGTATATATATATATATATACGTATGCGGTGCAATCTGCGTGGTGCAATTAATTTCTGTTCGCAGTGAGTTGTCCACTCCACTGCCGGCGCAAACATGCCACCTACCCACCCGCAACTGGGTTTGCTAACCTCATGCGGCGGCGATTACGATGAGTGCTTTGCGCTGGCTGGTGCATCTCTGCGGCCGCGCCAGCAAGCGCATGCGCGCGCAGCGGCCAGGTAGTTTGGCGCGACCGACGCGGCCGCGGTGGTGCTGACCGCTCGGCACATCCAGGCGGGCAATTGAGTGCGAGTCGGCGTCTTGGGCGGGCGTGGTGTCATGGCAACGCCGACACTTGCAGACACAATGATGATGATGATGTTGATGATGATGATGATGGTGATGATGATGATGATGATGATGATGATGATGATAGTAGCGATGTTGGTGACGATGTTGACAGCGACGATTGCACGGCCAGTGACGGCGCCGATACCGATCACGCCGGCGATGATGATGGCTTCTTCGCGTCGGTGATGAGGGTTTTGCAAAGAATTCGAAACGCGCGCGCGGCAGACACGCGAGAGTGGCTCGCATGATATTATTTGACACGGACCGTGTCGCCCCATCACGCGCGCAAGGGCGTTCGAACGATTTCGACATGCGCGCGCGGAACCCCTTTTGGTAGCATTCTATGAACATGTTGAAAAACTCGTGGTTTTCTTGAGAGTTCGCAAGAACGCGCGCGCACGTTTTTTGTCGAAGCTCTATGTTGCGAAACGTTGTGTTTTTGTATGTTTGTTGGGGCACTCGATTTTGAAACATTCCGAAACCGAAGGTTTTTGAATGATTCCGGCATGCGCGCGCGACGACGACGCGCGCGCGAGCACTTCGTTTTCTGTTGCAGAGGATTCTCGCGACGGTACGCGCGCAAGGGCGTTCGAACGATTTCGACATGCGCGCGCGCGAAGCCCGTGTGGTAGTATTTTTTTTGAAAATGGTGAAAGTCCCATGGCTTTCTTAGGATTTCGCAAGAGCGCGCGCACGCTTTTTTTTGAACATCAGTTTTGCGAAATCCTTGTTGTTGTATGCGTTCGGGAAGCTCGATGTTGAAATCCTTCCGTAACCTCAGGTTATCCGAAAGATTTCGGCATGCGCGCGCGCGCGATGACGCGCGCGTGTGCTCTTCGTGTTTTTCTTTTGCAAGGAATTCTTGAAAACTTACGATTTGGGATAAAAGAGTGTTCGCGCATAGTATGAGTTCGCGAGTCGGATGAACATTGGGTCAGAACCCAATGCGTTTTGAAAAAAGGTCCCCGAGGGATCTTTAATCCCGGGAGAGGGGGTAGAACCTATTCCGCTTTCAAGAGGAGGTTATTGAATGCAATACAACCAATGTAATGCTACATACGCGGTGCAATCTATGTGGTGCAAAGTTGGCGATGCAACCTACGTCATGCAATATAGGTGGTGCAATATATGTGGTGCTATGTATGCCATGCAACCGATGTACTGCAATCCACGCGGTGCAATATATGTGGCGCCATGCATGCGAACAAACCCGCGTAATATAATTTTGGTGTGGTGCAATGTATGCGGTGCAACTTGTGTTATGCAATATGTGCGGTGCAATCTGCGTGGCTCTATGTACGCGATGCAACCTACGAGGTGCAGTCTATTCGGTGCAAGCTATGTGGTGCAATGTATGCGATGCAACCTACGTAATGCAATCTATGCGGAGCAATGTATGCGATGCAGCGACGACGACGGGCGGCACGGGCGGCGACGGGCGGGAATGGCGGCGTCGGCGACGGGCGGCGACGGGCGGCACGGGCGGCGACGGGTGGGGATGGCGACGGGCGGCGACGGCGACGGGCGGCGACGGCGACTGGCGGCGACGGACGGCACAGCGGCGATTTTGCGGCGAGGTTCCCGAGATGGTTAACCGAAGTAAGAACCCCTAGTGCTGCAAACACTGTTTGGGGAACCGACAGTTCCTGAGATCAGACGTTGCGAACAACAATGCGCCACCTCGAACCATCACGACCGGAACCCTACGGACCCCACAAGTTCCGCATATGCGGCCATCTTTTGGGAACGCGGGGCCCCTGGAAGTCCCGACCCGCTCCCCGGGGCCGGTGCCTCCTCCCCGCGTCGCTGCACGACGGCCCCGCGGGGCCCGCCGAGGGCGCCCCCCCCCCTCCGGAGGCCCAGCACGGCCGGGGATCCCCCCTTGGAGGCGGGCGCTGCAGGGCCTGCCCCGCGGGCGCAGGGCCGTGGCGGTGGTGGTGGACGGCTGCGGCTGGGAGGCGGTGTGGCTCGCGAGGCGCGCGGCGGCCCTGGGCCTCTGCGGGGTCTGCGCCGTGCGCGCGCGCGCCTCGGCGCTCGCCGGGCTCGAGGGCGCCCTCGCGGAGGCGAACGGCTGCTGCGTGCAGCAGTGCCTCTGGGAGGGCCTCGGGGCGCACCTGGAGGCGGCCGCGCCCACGGCCGTCCTGGTGCTGCTGTGCGGGTGCCTGGCGGCGCACCCGGCCTCGCCGGGCACCCTGGTGTCCCAGCTGGCGCAGGTGAAGAAGGAGCGGCTCGGGGGGCCCTCCCGGGGCCCTCCTGGCGGATTTGGTCGGCTCTGGTTCGGCACCAGTTCGGCTCCAGTTCGGCTCCAGCTCGGCTCGAGTTCGACCCCCAAGTTCGGCTCGAGTGCGATTCAGGTCGGCGGGCGTTCGACGCAGCGGCGATGCACGAGTGGAGCGAGTGGCTCCAGGAGGGTTCCCAGAACGCGCATCTAAAGGAGCTGCCGCCCGGCGCCGCAGCCGCCGTGGTGCCGGCGCGCGTGCGGTGGCGGGGCGGACACGCGCGCTGCAGGGCGCTGAGAGATGCGGGCGTGGTGGACACGGAGGGGCTAGCTGCCTATGGCCTCGACTACGGCTTGGCCGCGGAGGCTCTGCGGGTGCACCACAGGTGGCGGCTCACAACGGATCAAGGCGGGGTTGGCAGATTTAGAGCAGACGGCTCCCTACCAGCCTCGCACACCTGCACGATTTCCGCGGCCTTCCGGCCCAACGTGTGCTTGTGCTCCCCGGGGATCCCGCCTCGTGTCTTCGACGCGCGGCGGCGGCATGCGTGCGGCGGCGGCCAGGCCCCGAGTGTGCTGGTGCTCCCTGTGTGCATCTCGCCTGGCGCTCTCGGGTGGGGATCGTTCGAAGCAGGACTGTGTTCATGGCGCCAGCATCGCAGAGCGCATTCCGTTCGGAAGACGATCGGATGGGCCCAGAGTGTCCTGGAGAGTTTCGTTCCGGATTTCGAGGTGAGTTTCGTGCGGATTCATTTTTGGCCAGGAACGAGGACTAAAACAAATCCACATGACATTCACTTCGTTATTCCCCACATGCTTCGTGGGGTTATGGTTTTCATCCCTGCCGCGTCGCACCCGCGTCTCCTCCTCACCCACCTCCCCTCCCTCCTCCTTCCTCCCCTCCTCCACTTCCCTCCTCCCTTCACCCAAACGCAACCCATGCCCGGCACGTGCATGAGACGCGTCTACATGCAGCCGCACGCATGCACATACACACACATTCTCTCTCTCTCTCTCTCTCCCTCTCTCCCTCTCTCTCCCTCTCTCTCTCACACACAACATACACCATACAACGCTAGTGCACGCCTGGCGTTTTCACTGCATCATACACCCAAGACGTGTGGGAACCCTATCCGTTTCGGGCTCGCAAGGCGCGGCAGGCTCGGCACATCCTCGACATCACAGGGGTTGAGCTGGGGGTGGGAACGCTATCCGTTTCGGGATCGCAAAACGTGGCAGACGTGGCACTTCCTCGACACCACAGGGGCTGAGCTGGGGGTGGGAGCGCTGTCCGTTTCGGGCTCGCAAGCCGTGGCACACGCGGCACTTGCTCGACACCACAGGGAGTGAGCTGGGGGGTGGGAGCGCTATCCGTTTCGGATTCGCACAGCGTGGCAGGTGTGGTACTTCATCGACACCACGGAGTGCGCAAAGCGTGGCAGGCGTGGCATTTCGTCGACACCACAGGGGCTGCGCAGTGGGTGGGAACGCTACCCGCTTCGGGCTCGCAAGGCGCGGCAGGCTCGGTACATCCTCGACACCACAGGGGGTGAGCTGGGGGTGGGAACGCTATCCGTTTCGGGCTCGCAAAGCGCGTCAGGCGTGGCATGTCCTCGACACCACAGGGGGTGAGCTGGGGGGGAAGGGCGCTATTAGTTTCGGGCTGGCAAAGCGTGGCAGGCGTGGCACCTCCTCGGCACCACAGGGAGTGAGCTGGGTGTGGGAACGCTACCCGTTTCGGGCTCGCAAAACGTGACAGGTGTGGCACATCTTCGACACCACAAGGGGTGAGCTGGGGGTGGGATCGCTACCCGCTTCGGGCTCGCAAAGCGTGGCAGGCGTGGAACTTCCTCGACACCACAAGGGCTGAGCTGGGGGTGGGAGCGCTATCCGCTTCGGGCTCGCACAGCGTGGCAGGCGTGGCACTTGCTCGACACCACAGGGAGTGAGCTGGGGGGTGGGAGCGCTGTCCGTTTCGGGCTCGCACAGCGTGGCAGGCGTGTCTCTTGCTCGACACCACAAGGGATGCGGTGGGGGTGGGAGCGCTACCCGTTTCGGGCTCGCAAAACGTGGCAGGTGTGGCACGCCCTCGACACCACAGGGAGTCCGCAAAGCGTGGCAGGCTTGGAATTTCCTCGACACCACAGGGGCTGCGCTGGGGGTGGGAGCGCTATCCGTGTCGGGCTCGCAAGGCGAGGCAGGCGTGGCACACCCTCGACATCACAGGGGGTGAGCTGGGGGGTGGGAGCGCTATCCGTCTCGGATTCGCAGAGCGTGGCAGGCGTGGCATTTCCTCGACACCACAGGGGGCGCGCTGAGAATGGGAGCGCTATCTGTTTCGGGCTCGCACAGCGTGGCAGGCGTGGCATTTCGTCGGCACCACAGGGGATGCGCTTGGGGTGGGAGCGCTATCCGTTTCGGGATCGCAAACCGTGGCAAGCGTGGCATTTCCTCGACACCAGGGGGGGTGAGCTGGGGGTGGGAGCGCCATCCGTGGCTCACAAAGAGTGGCAAGCGCAGCATGTCGTCGACACCACAGGTGCTGCGCTGGGGATGGGAGCGCTATCCGTTTCGGGTTCGCTAAGCGTGGCAGGCGAGCCCGCATGTTATCCAGAATTGTAAACACCTTGGCTCAAGCCGTTTCGGCGTGCACGCGTTTCCACGCAGTCTCGCCTGTAGTTCCGTTTGAGGGCAGCAGCCGCGGTACCTGCGCGTAGCAGACATGCCGCCCAACATTGCCATGGACGCCTTGTCTCCTCCGTGTTTGGCGGTGAAGAACGCAATGATTCAGATGGGTGGCAAGGTCAGCTTGGAGAACTCGCGCAGATGTGCCCACGGAGTGGTGCTGTCCGCATTTAGTGCGTACCGCCGCCAGCTCAACAATTGGTGGCCTGACGCGGCATAGCAGGCGTGGCGTATTCTCGACGCCGTAGGGGGTACGCAGGGCGTGGTCTGTGAGCGCGGCCAGCACTCCAGCCATAATGTAGGTATGTGGGGTTCCTCGGTAGCGCAATTCGCTCGCCGTTCCGGGGTTCTGTGTCGACAGAAATCCACGCCAAAAATCGGTGCAGTCATAATTTCCGAATGCTCGTCTTTATGAGTTTTTTTTTCTCCTCGTCCTCGTCGCCCTTCGCTTCTTCCTCGCAGGTGGGTGCAGCTCTCCGAGTGCGGCGCCGAGTGGGAGGACCATGAGCTTGCCACTATGGACTTGCAGGCTGGGGGAGGCGAAACTCACGCAAGGGCCCCCCGCACCCCCCTGACCCCCTGCAGACTTTGAGGCAAACAGGAAGGACGGGGCCCAGATATACGGTGTTGTGATGCTTCAGTGCAAGGTTCCCCAGAGCCGTATTCCATCCCGATCGGGTCGGTTTTCGACGGTCCCGGAGCCCAGCGAGGGCCCCCAAAGGCCGAAAACGGCAACACAAGTTCCCGTCGTGATTGTTCGTGCGACGCGAGCGCGTTTGGGAAAAGAGGGCGGGTTGGGGTCGAAAGGGGGTATTGGACCTGTCGACCCCTTTTCCTGGGTGACCACCGCCACACCCTGATCACGTTAAATGTGGAAGCGGACCCCAAACGCTGGAGTTGGCGAAAACCAAAAATGTCGATGTTGAGCCAATAAGAACGGCAGAATCCTGGCGAGGAGCGAGTGGGAGAGGGAACGAGAGGGAAGACCCACAGGCAGGGCCGCTTACAATCTGATTCGATGCGATTTGATTCGCTGGTACGGAATGGGATTTCGACTCGGTCGGGTTCGACGGCATCGGCCACGGCCAGCCGGAGCCAGGCGCGGCGACTCGATGTTGAGTCGGTTCGGGACGATTCGTCGGCGATCCGCTCCGTTCCCGATCCGATCCGACTCCGCGACTCGATCCAGCTCAGGCCTGCGTGCGGTCAGGAACTTTTGTCGCGCCGCCGTTTCTGGTCTACCACGCCTCGGCGGGACACGCTAAGCGGGGGCGGACAGAACTTCCATGCTCACACGTCGATGAGTGAATTGTCCGTTGTCGGTTCTCGGGAGGGCGTCGCGGTCGTCATCTTCCAGGCCTGCGCCCGCCAGGTTTGGGTCCGAGGTCGTTTTCATTAAACCACGTTTTATTGAAGGGGGTTCTGTCCATCCCCGACTTTTGTCGCGCCGCCGTTTCTGGCACACCTCGCTTCGGCGCGGCACGCTCATTGCTGCCCAATCCAATCCACCAAACGCCAACGTCACAAGCCTCCCGACCTCCCGCCCTGCGGAGCGGAGCAAAGGCGGGAACTTCTGCTCAGCGTTACGTCGGACATGTCCCTTCGACAGGAGGAATATTCAAGAATAGTCCGCAATTCGTATGGGGAAGATCTTGTTATTTCTGGATGTATTGTTTTAATCTGCTTTATTTGTCGTCCACCATCCGCCTCTAGGGGGACAGGCCCGACCCAAGCTTCGTGCGACGCTGGGTCCGCTGCCACGACACGCTAAGCAAAAGTTCCCGAACCCAGGTGAGCGGACACATCGATTCCTGACTCGGGGGCGGCAAAGAGGGGGGTGATGACTAGGGGGGGTGGATATCATGGCGTGGGCCATGATATCTCCCCAAATTTCCTGGCGCCTCGTCTCATTTCATTACGTCCCCAGCCCCCCCCGCTGTGCCGCGCATGTGCCGCCGGTCATGATTTCCCCCCCCCCCCCCCTCTTGGACACCCCCCTCTTGGCCGCTCCCGAAAAAACGATTGTTTTCTTATTCGTTGTTTTTCCGATCGGTGCGGGCCCTCGCACCCCCCCCCCATGGAGTAGACGGTAGATCTTGGTTGTTTCTGGCGCCTGCTTCGAGCAGGTGGGGCCTCCCCAATGGACGCACGGTCGCAAACAGTCGCACTGAGCGGAGGTCTGGAGCCAGACCCCCCCCCTCCGCCGAATGCCGAAGCACCGAATAAGGAAACGTTTACAAGTTCCCCCCAGGGATCGGTCGGGGTTTCTGGGGCCGTGGACTGGAGAGCTCACCTCGGAGGATGTCAGGGCCCTCGCGTCGTGGACAAGGTCACGTCGCAAGGTTTTGGGTTAGGTCGGGCATGTCCTCCTACAGGCGGGTTTCGGGGAGAAAAATGCGAGACAGTCAAACATATTCAGAAATAGTGAGAAGAACACAAAACATCGGCCCGATCTTGTTTGAACTATTCTTGAATATTTCTCATATAGAGCGTTTAAGATTTGGGCAATTTTCAGCCTAGGGGGTCCCTGACCGGGCCCAGGGACCGTCAAAGCCCGGCTCAAGATGAAACGCCCGTCCTCGGGCAGGGGTCTGGACCTGCGCTCAGGATCCATGTGGTGAGGAATCACGTGAAAGGGGTCCAGACCTCCACGCGATGTCTGCGCGAGTCACTCCCGACCCATTTCGGCCCTCCTTGTCGCGCGGGTGGTGCAGGGGGAGTGGGCCCGAGGGGCGGGCGGGTGAGTCCCTCTTCCTGGGGCCACGAGCCCAGACGAACGACGTCCAGATTTGCGTCGCACGGGGCCCCTGGGAAGTCCCGACCCCTTCCTCTCCCGAGCCCTTTTTTGAGGGTCCCAGGGCTCCGCGAGGGCACTGCAGAGGCCGAAGGCAGCGGGAGACCCTGCCGTCATGAGCTGTCCACGGCGCAGAGGGGTCCCCTGATTTTCCAGAGTGCTGAAAAACAGCCCTCCAGACCTGTATTCAGAAAGGGAAAACACACACAGACAAAATGAATCGTCGACTCCCAGGAAGATATAGGAAAGTATGGGAAGTGGGGGGGGGGAAGACAACAACCCACAAGATATATGAAAATATGGGGAAATTTGTTATTTGTGTGTATTTTTATGTGTGTGTCCCAGGGCCCCTTCACATATACCTATCTGGACGGCTTGAAACCTCGACAGAAATTCGGACGCCAAGGTCCTGGTGCTGTCTCCTGGCCCTCGTGGCAGGTCGGGGTCTGTGCTGCCCTGGGCCCCGCAGGAGGCCTGGGCGGCGCTGCCGGGCGAGCTGTGTGGCAGCGGAGCCGGCCCTGCCCTGGAGAGCGCGCTGCGCGTGCACGCCTCCAGCTGGTGGGCCGATGTTCCACCACCATTATCAGAGGTAGGTGAGGGAGGACGGGAGGGAGGGGGAGGGGGAGGAGGAGGAGGAGGAGGAGGAGGAGGAGGAGGAGGAGGAGGAGGAGGAGGAGGAGGAGGAGGAGGAGGAGGAGGAGGATAGGAGGAGGAGGAGGTAGGAGGAGGAGAGGAGAGGAGGAGCAGGAGGAGAGTGAGGGAGGAGGAGGGGAGTGAGGAGGGGAGGATGAGGAGTGGGAGGAGGGGGAGGATGAGGAGGAGAAGGACGAGGAAGAGGAGGCGGAGAAGGAGGAGGAGGAGCAGCAGCAGCAGCAGGAGGAGGAGGAGGAGGAGGAGGAGGAGGAGGAGTGTGAGGAGGAGGGGGGGAGACCAGGAGACCTCCCCATCCTCCCTTTTCCTCCGTCCAAACTATGGTAGTGGTGGTAAAAAACTGGCCCATCACCAGCGCCTCGGCTCTGGCGATGCCCGCGACGGGGGGCGCGGCCGACGCCTTCGTCTGGTGGACGGTGGCCGAGGGCGCCGCGGAGGCCGACGGTGTCGCCGGTGACGCTGCGGCCGGCAGCTCGTACGCAGCGGCCGTCTGTTCGTGCGCGCCAGGTGCCCGCGGCGAGCGGCGGACGTGGCAGGTGGCCGTCCTCGACCCGGAGGCGTGCCGGGGGCCCGTCGAGGCGCTGCTGCGCGCGGCGGAGGCCCGCGCGAAGGTGCGCCCGTACTTGGAGACAGCTGGGGGTCTGAGTGGCCCAGCACTGGCTTCGGCCAATGGGACGGGCGGCAGGTTCGAGGTTTTGGGGTTCGGGACAGTTGTTGGCCTTTTTCTGCCTTCCGGGGCCGTTTTCGGGGCCTGGGACCGTCAGAAAGGGATGCAGGGCGAAACACTCCGGACCCCGGGTAATGGGTCCGGGGACCGACTTCGAGAGGGTTTGCCCTTCTTCCCCCTTCTTGACAGATCTTCTCGAGGCCCATCCAGTTCAGAACCCCCGGCCGCCTCCAAGCCCGTACCACGTCGGCATGTTGAACGACGCTGCGCGGACGGCGTACTACGCCGCTGCAATCCACCGCGCGCTCCAGCTCGGGGGAGGAAACGGTGCCGATACCGCACTGGTGCTGGCAAGCCCTCGTCGCCACGGCTGGCTTGTAGTCGAAATCCTGGTCAGAACGCGCCCCAGGAGAGGCCCGGGGTTCCCCTCGAGCAGCGGTATGTCGGCGTGGTTTTCTTCCCTCACCAGCGCTTGCCCCGAGCGGAGCCCGTTGTGGCCTTGGACGTCGGCTCCGGCACCGGGTTGTTGTCGCTGCTGCTGGCGAGGCGCGCCGAGGGGCTCTCGTTGCCGCCGCCGCGGGTGGTGGCCGTGGAGGCGGAGCCAGAGCTGGCGGAGCTGGCGGAGCCGATGGGCGAACTTTCCAGCACCGCTACCATAGGGAGGACGGGGGAGAGGGGGGAAGGGGAGGTGCTCCTCCTCCTCCTCCTCCTCCTCCTCCTCCTCCTCCTCCTCCTCCTCCTCCTCCCCCTCTTCCTCCCTCCTCCTCCTCCTCCTCCTCCTCCTTCCTCCTCCTCCTCCTCCTCCTCCGCCCTCCCTCCTCCCCTCCTTCGCCTCCTCCTCCTCCTCCTCCTCTCCTCCTCCTCCTCCTCCTCCTCCTCCTCCTCCTCCTCCTCCCTCCTCCTCCTCCTCCTCCTCCTCCTACCTCTTCCTCCTCCTCCCCTCCTCCTCCTCCTCCTCCTTCCTCCGCCTCTCCTCCTCCTCCTCCACTCCCTCCTCCCCCCCCTCCCTCCTCTCCTCCTCCTCCTGCCTCCTCCTCCTCCTCCTCCTCCTCCTCCTCCCCCTACCTTCCTTCTCTCCTCCTCCGCCTCCTCCGACTCCTCCTCCTCCTGCCCCTCCTCCTCCTCCTCATCCTGCTCCTCCCCTCCTCCTCCTCCCGCCTCCTCCTCCTCCTCCTCCTTCTCCCTATGGTAGTGGTGGTGGAGGATCGGCCCATCAGGAGCGGCTGGTGGCAGCGCACGGCTGCGGCGACCGGGTGGAGGTGCACTGTGCGCTGAGCACCGCGCTGGAGGGGCTGCCAGGCGCAGGGCGCGCAGGGCTGTGCGTGCACGAGATTTTTGGCTCGGACCCGCTGTCGGAGATCGCGGGGGGGAGGAAGAAGAAGGAGGAGGAAAAGGAGGCGGAGGAGGAGGAGGAGGAGAAGGAGGAGGAGGAGGAGGAAGAGGAGGAGGAAGAGGAGGAGGAGGAGGAGGAGGAGGAGGAGGAGGAGGAGGAGGTGGTGGCCTGGGGAGGCATCGGGTGGGGCCGCGGGCACAGCCCCTTTAGCAGCGCCTCCCGTTCAGGGATGGCTGGGGTACAGCCCACCGCCTGTCTCGGGGTCCAGCAACCGCAGCGTCACGGCGCAACTCGGTCCAAGAGACCTCCGGGGGAGACCTCCCCTGGGACCTCTCCGCCTCCACCACTCAGACAACAGGAGGGCCAGCCGCACCCTCCTCCCTTACCCGCAGAGCGGGCTTTCCCGGAAGAGGAGAAGGCTGCAGCGGGACGCCCCTCCAGGGACCGGGGGGGGGATGGGCAGTTCCCAGGGGGGACCCGGCTGCCTCAAGTGCCGGGAGGACACCAGAAACGCGGAGTGGGGATGGGCAGTGTGAGAGCTCTCGGCTCACCTCCACTGGGGTCCCGCCCGTCCGTACCAACCCTGATGCCACCGCAGTGCGCAGCTACGAGGCGTTGAGAGAAGGCCAGAGGAGACCCTCCCCGGGGTGCGGCACCCCCGCCCCCACCCCTGCTCGGCTGAGGGGCGCGGCCCAGCCTGCGGGGAGAGGCAGGGGGGAGAGAAGCGGAGGGGGATTTCAGGGGTTCCGGCCAGGGCGGGAGCAGGTCAACGCCCGGTCCAGAACCTATGTTGCTGCCTGTCGACAGCCGCCGCGAGCGCCACCGCCTGCGGCGCGCTACGTCAATGACTCCTCTGCTCGCGCCAGACACTGTCCATCCCAGCTCCGCCTCCGCCACCGTGGAGGTGCGCCATGGGGGGGCACCCAGGAGCGCCCTGGCCCAGCTCTGGTAAGCCTCGTCCACCGCTTCGGCGCTGCCCTCCCCAACGCACCACAGCCAGCGCCCAAATCGGAGGCCGCCCTCTATCTTCATGTCGAAGATGCTCGCCGCGACCGGCAGGGGGACATCGCCGCTGCCACCTGGCTCGCCAGGGACGCCACCTGCGCCGCCGCCGCCGCCGCCGCCAGGAGAAAAGAGGAGAGGGAGGAGGAGGGGGGAGGAGGAGGAGGAGGAGGAGGAGGAGGATGAGGAGGAGGAGGAGAGAGGAGGAGGGAGGAGGAAGAGGAGGAGGAAGAGAGGAGGAGGAGGAGGAGGAGGAGGAGGAATGGGGAGGCTCCTCCTCCCTCCTCCTCCCTCCTTCCTCCTCCTCCTCCTCCTCCTCCTCTCCTCCTCCTCCTCCTCCTCCTCCTCCTCCCTCCTCCTCTTCCTCCTCCCTCTCCTCTTTTCTCCTGCACACAAAAGCAGCACCACCTTCCGCAGTTTCGTGCGAAGTTCTTGGCTTGTGCACCCGGCCCTGGAGTGCGGAGGACGCGCCACGGGCGGCGCCAGGGGGGGACCCAGCGCCGATCCGAGAAATCCACGCGAAGCTACGACATCTTTTTTGTTGTTGTTTGTTTGTTTGTTTGTTTGTTTGTTTGTTTGTTTGTTTGTTTGTTTGTTTGTTTGTTTGTTTGTGTGTGTGTGTGTGTCTGCGTGCCCGCGTGCGTGCGTGCGTGCGTGCGTGCGTGCGTGCGTGCGTGTGCGTATGTGTGCGTGTGTGTGTGTGTGTGTGTGCGTGTGTGTGTGTGTGTGTGTTTGTGTGTGTGTGTGTGTGTGCGTGTGTGTGTGAGAGAGTGTGTGTGTGTGTGCGTGGTGGTGCGTGCGAGTGCGTGTGCGTGTGCGTTGTGCGTGTGCGTGTGTGTGTGTGTGTGTGTGTGTCTGTGTGTGTGTGTTGTCTGTGTCTGTGTGTGTGTGTGCGCGCGGGCTTGCGTGCGGTGTGCCTCCGTGGTGCGTGCGTTCATGCGTGCGTGCGTGTGCGCGCGCGTGCGTGTGCGCGTTGTGTGTGCATGTGTGAGCATGTGTGTGTGTGGGGGGGTTCGCGTGTGTGTGTGTGTGTGTGTGTGTGTGGGGGTGTTGTGTGTGTGTGTGTGTTGTTGGCGTGTCGTGTGTGCTGCGCGCGTGCGCGCGTGCGCGTGCGTGCGTGCGTGCGTGCGTGCGTGCGTGTGTGTGTGTGTGTGTGTGTGTGTGTGTGTGTGTGTGTGTGTCTGTGTGTGTGCGTGTGTGCGTGCGTGCGTGCGTGCGTGCGCGCGGGCTTGCGTGCGTGCGTGCCTGCGTGCGTACGTGCGTTCATGCGTGCGTGCGTGTGCGCGCGCGTGCGTTTGCGTGTGTGTGTGTGCATGTGTGTGTGTGGGTGCGCGCGTGTGTGTGTATGTTTGTGTGAGAGTGTGTGTGTGTGTGTGTTTGTGTGTGTGTGCGTGTGTGTGTGTGTGTGTGTGTGTGTGTGTGTGTGTGGGGGGGGGAGGGCGCGTGTGTGTGAGAGAGAGAGAGTGTATGTGTGTGTGTGTGCGAATGTGTGTGCGAATGTGTGTGCGAATGTGTATGTGTGTGTTTGCCCTTCCCAGGAGAGGCTGCTCCCCTCCCTCCGCCACGCGCAGCGCGAGCTGCTGGCCCCGGGCGCCCTCCTCGTCCCCGACAGCTTCACGCTCCTGTGCGCCCTGTGCTCCAGCAGGAGGCTGGCGGGCGCCTTCCGGCCGCCCGCCTCCGTCCAGGGCGTGCGCCACGTGGGCGAGGTTTTCCAGGACTCCTCCTCCTCCTCCTCCTCCTTCCTCCTCCTCCTCCTCCTCCTCCTCTCCTCCTCCCCCTCCCCTCCCCTCTTCCTCATCCTCCTCCTCCTCCTCCTCCTCCTCCTCCTCCTCCTCCTCTCCTCTCCTCCTCCTTCCTCCTCGTCTCCCCCCCCCCCTCGTCCTCCTCCTCCTCCTCCACCTCCTCCTCCTCCTAAGCCCCTCCTGCTCAGACCAGGGGGAATCGGGGCTCCCTGTCAGGAGTTGATGCAGGCTACACCCCTTCCGCCTGCAGCCCCAGCTCCCGCCCATCATGTGGGCCTCCCTCCTACAAACCGTACTCTATAATCCACTCTCTCTTAGCGATTCATGGCGTGCACACGACGTTTCTTCTCGCTTGAGCTTTGCAGATCTTATTCTTTTGCCAGGGACTCAGCAGCGGCGCCGCGCAGGAGACGCCCCGACGGTGATGAAGCCCGAGAAGCACATGATGGTGCAGTTCGGGTGGCAGAAGGGGCGGTACACAAACAAGAGCGCGGGCTGCGCGATCATGCTGAGACGACGGGCCTTTCGAGAGGCCCACGTTCATGAAGTACTCGAGCCTCCTCGCGAGCTGGCGGGGCGGGGCGGAGCAGTACGACTCAAGAGTCCGACCTTCGACATAATGGTGGTGGTGGCCTACTACCCGCCGCCGCAGAGGCACCAGATCGACCATTGGAACACGACTTGCGCCAAGCTCACGGCGTGGCTACATCGGACGATACAGCGTGCCCGAGCGCGCTGCATGATAGTGGTGGGAGCTGATACGAATTCTGAGTTTGGGCGACGCAGTGGGCCCAGCGGCACCCCGACGACGACGCGCGACGACGTGCACGTCGGCCCGTTCGCGAACAGCTACGAGAACGGGGTTAGTGCCGCCCTGTGGCGCATGATGAGCATGGAAGGCTTGGCTGCGATCGACACCTTTTACGACACGGGGCCAACATTTTTCGGGGCCGAGGCCCACATCACCTCGCATCCCGACCACCTGTGGGGACCGTGCGACGCTGTGCAGGCGACCAGATCGTGTGTGTGTCTTCGACGAGCGATGCGTGACCTACAACGTATACCTTCACCTCTACTTCGAGACCATTGCCCCATGTTGTGGCGAGTACACTACAGGCTTTAGACTGCACCTCATCCTGATGGTCGGCGCCTTCGGTGGGACAGGGATCTCATGGGACAGGCTCTTAAGCTGCGAGGCGCCCCCGAGTTCATCGCGGAGTTGGAGCGACGGTGCGAGAGTTCGGCGAGCGCATGGCGAAGTTTTCTTAGAGCAGAGGACCCCTCACTTTCTTGGTTTCACTTGGTGGCGGACGTCACAGAGGCAGCGCGGACCGAGTTCCTGGAGACCAAGACGACGGGGCCGTCTGCTGCATATCGAGAAGAGCGTGATCGATTTTTGGCAACGAGGCGTCAGCTCAGTGTTCACTTTCAGGAAGAAGATCGACTTCGACTCCGAGCTTGCGATCGCGAGATCAAGCGTGCGCGCCGCAGGCTGGACAAAGAGAATGTCGAGGCGCTGCTGAAGGAGGCGCAAGTGGCCTCAGATCGAGGCCATACCAGCACCGTCTGGAAGCTCGCCTTTCAGATCGGGGCGCGCTATCACGGGGTGCGGAGACGCCGGTTTAACCTGATCCCAACTTACGCCCCGACGTTGCAAGAGTGGCAGGACACGCTGGAGTCCGACGCTAAGGAGGGGGGCTTCTCTGCCTGCCCTGCGCTTAACCGAGATGGAAAGATTCCTTCGTGCGGTATGGCGCTCTTCGGGCGCGCTGCGCCCCTCGTCTGGCACGAGAAGAATGACGAAAACATAAAACATGTTGGAATTGAAACAGAACCACGAAACAAGAGGATGTTTATTTGACACAAAAACGCGACACCTCTGAAAAACGATGCTTGTGACGAATTTGAAACTGAAAAGCGATGCTTCTGAAAAACGATGCCCGTGAGAACCATGCCTCGGAGAAAACAATTGAGATCGCGGCGTCGGATGTCCCGGGCAGAAATGGATGGGAAAGAAGGGAGGAGAAGCAGGAGGAAGAGGATGAGGATGAGGAGAAGAGTGGCGGAAGAGAAGAATAACAAGAGGGGCCCGGAGTGCAGTGGCAGTAGAATTTAAAGAATGGGGGCAGTGTCGCGTTGACGTAGTGACAGCACACGAAGCAGCACATGAAGCAGCACCAACAGTCGCAAACACATCTTATGTATGTTATGTATGTTATTCTTATGTCCAGTATCAATTGGACATATGGGTGCACACCAGTGCTAAGTTGCCAGATCAGTAGAAGCGGCGTATCAGCCGTTGTAATAGTTGCAGTAGAGAGTGGTTGTACTGGTTGAACATGGTGGGCACGCTGAGAATGGTTTTTGGCAGTCCTGGGGCCCCGAGGATAAAAGATTTTGCATGTCCAGAAAACGATGTTTGGAAACGATGGGGAAACGGTTTTGACATGTGCTGGGGTGTAGTAAGCGTCGT